AGCCTGCTTCTCCCTCTCCCACTCCCCCTGCTTGTGTTCCCTCTCTCACTGTGTCTCTCTCTGTCAAATAAATAAATAAAATCTTTAAAAAAAAAGGAAGTCCACCCAGGTAATCATCAGGCCCGTCACTTCCCCGGTCAGGACAGGCACTGCCCCCCACCTCTCGAGGAGGTCCTGATGCCTTCCTTCTCCACTGAGGGCCTGATAATGCAGTGCTCGGTCTAGCGTTCAGCCTAATGCCGACTTCTATGGCTTTCTGCCTCGTGACACTGGCCATCGCCCTCTGCTCTATTTGGGAATCATGAGCACCATCCTGCCTGCTTAGGTGGCTTGTGGGTAGCTGTTGGCAAGAAACCAAACACTTCATGGAGGGGACCAAAGGCAGAGTCAAATGAGCTCTGAGAATGGTTAGCCCATTTGTAAGGAAGGTGCATACAGAACACCTGCATTTCTAGAAATCTTGTTCCAAAGCCTCTGGCTATGTAAATAGGCTCATAAAAGCTAATACTTTCAAGTGCTTAATCTAGGTAAATATGAAAATAAGATAAGCTAATATTTTAGAGTGCTCAGTAGGTGCCAAGCACTCCTTCAATTTCCATAATAGTTCCTCGAGACCTACGAGTCTCCTTAGCAGAGGAAGACATGATGGGCAAGTAACTTGCCCAACAAGCGAGGGGTGGATCCAGGCGGCCTGATGCCTGTGAACAGCAGTTGCCCTAGAACAGGCTGCCATGTTTTACTGTGATGTGAAGTTGCCTAATCAAGTAGAAACTCAGGCTTCCTTCCACCTCTTCTTTGTCAGGATCACCATGAGTAGCCTTAGGCAGGAAAGGGGTGAACCCTCCTCCTCCCACACACAGCAGCCTCCAGAGCTGGGCTAAGTCCCAGGAGCCTCACTCCCTGGCCCCCAGTTCTCTGGCTTTTTGTGCCTCCCCTTCTCTGCCCAACCTGGCCTCAGGGACGAGAGGTAGAAGTGAGCCATTAAATGTGGCTTTTAGGGCTTTGCAGTGTCGCTCCCCCTGCCTGACCCTGGAGGTCCAAGTGCGCCTGGCTCTGCCTCAGGGGCGAGGGCTCTGTTTCTACGGGCTGCAGAAGAGATTGGTTTCCGCTGGGGAGCCACAGATGTGTGCTCAGTCCCAAGGGCGCGGCCCCCAGCACACTCACACTGCACTTGGAGGAGAATCTCGCTCTGAGTCTTTTGCTTGGCCACTGAGAGTTCACAGTGCAGGGTCCGGCCGTGGTCCTGCCAGGACAGGGCCATATGGAGGATCCCCAGGTGGCTGATGCCTGTGGGCCTGAGATCCTGGAAGCTGGAGGTGACCGAGCGCTTCAGGTCCTGGCCTTGCCACTGCAGGCTGATGTGCTCTTCTGGGCACGCATAGGGAGTGGAGCAGTTGAAGGAGGCCTCCATGCCCTCACGAAGGTCCGCCAGCGGGGCAATGGTGGGAGTCTTGGGCGTCTCTGAAGACAACGACCAGAGGCTCAGGACTCCCCTTCACCACACATGAGGCCTCCTGCCCTAGAAAGCCCAGCTGAGGGGTGAGACCTGGGCAGCGTCCTTCAAGAAGAAGGAGAGACTGCTTTCTACCCCCAGCTCCACTTAGGGTGAACGCAAAGGAGATGCAGGGCTGAGGCTAGGCCGGGGCTGGGGTTGGGCTGAGGACCGGGGCTGTGAGCCAATGGGGCCAGGAGCAGCTTGGGAAACCCTTCCAGGCAGTAGCCAGCTCACCCTGCCCCTCACCTGTCACTGTGACCAGAGTGCCTTTGACATCTGACCAGCGATTGCCTTCACTAATCTCAAAACGGAAGTTGTAGGAGCCCGAATCCTCAGGCTGCAGTTCCTTCAGCAGCAAGCTGCACATCTTGTGCTCTCTGTGCCCCAAGAACTGGGCACGGCCACGAAAGTGTGCGTCCACCAGCTCCGGGTTCTCCGTGTGGCTTACCACCAGCCGCTTGCCTGAGTAGTCGTAGTACCAGATGGCTGTGATGCCGTGAGTCACTTCCACGTCAGCTGGGAAGCTGAAGACACAGGGGATGATGAGGCAGGACCCCTCCACGCCCTTCACATCCTGGGGACTGGAGACGCTCCATGAGGACAGGCCTAAGGGTGAGGCAAGACAGAGAGGAGAGTGACGAAGACCTCGTGTCATGGCAGAGCCCTCAGATCTGCCCCCAGATGAGCCCCCAAACCCTGCCCTGCCCCCAGCAAGGCACCCCTGGAGCAGCCCCTCGGGGGGCCCCTCCCAGCCACTGCCTCCCCGAGCCCTCCTTTGACCTCAGTGGACAAACCTGTGACCAGGCCCAGTCCAGTCTGCCCGGGGCCAATGGAGGGCTGGACTCCCCGAGGCCAGGCCCTGCGAGATGGGTGAGGCCAGCGTAGCTTACCTGTTGAGGTGGCTAACACCAGCTGGAGAAGCCAGAACAGGAAGGCCATAGCAGGCTTTATGTTGGTCCTGGTGCCTAAGAAGGTGATGTACACCTTGTGCGCTGGTTGGGTACACAAGGGCCTCCCAGGGCACCTCAGGGTACCTCAGCCTCAGAGTCTGCTGAGAGTCCAGCCCTGGGTCCCCACATGCTCTGCTGGCCCACCCAGTGAGACGGCCAGGCTGCCAAGGACTCCTAGTGCAGCCAGCAGCAGGGAGCCGGGAGCCCACGTTCCCAGCAGGGACTGCACCCAGGAATACCTTCCCTTGGTGTCATGCCCCAGAAAGCCTTCTGTGTGTCTCTCAGCCTCACCCCAAGTTCTGCTTTCCCAGCCCCTCAATGACACTCCTCGAGAGCAGATGAACATCTGTTTCTCCCTTTCCTCCCACTTCCCCACCCCTTCCCCACCACCCAACCCAACAAGAACTAGAGCCCAGAGAGGCCCAGTGACTCACTCCAAGATACTCAGCAAGGATGATGGCTTAAAACTTGTCTCCTTACCACCAGCCTTACCAGCTGTAGGCCATAGTGGGGCTTGACTGAACCCTGACCAAAGTGCTGCCTTTAAGAGCTACTTACATCCCTGAAAGGTCCTCATTCTTACTCCCAGTTCTGCCCCCATTCTCTGCTCCCCACACACGCAGCCTGTGGCCAGTCCCATCTACCCATGGGCTCTCCAGCTGACCAGCTCTGCCCCCACCACAAATGATCTTTGCCTGCTGAAACCTTATTCAGTCTTCAAGGTGCAGCTTGAAGGTGGCTTCTAGCTGAAACTTCCCCTGTGGCGTCCCTGGAGCCACCCCACAGCCATCTCTGTGCTTGCCTTGTCCTTGGCAGCTTGTGACCCCCGTTTCCCAGGAGCTGGGACTGAAGACATGTGCCCTGAAGCAATACAGAGCCCCCCAGGCCTTGCAGTAGTGAGCAAGAGAGAGGTGCGGTCCTTGGGGGTCTGGAGTTGGTGGCAGGGCAAGTCTGGGCAGGGGACACAAGCCCCGCACAACACATATCCCACAAACATGAGTTAAATGCCTACTGTATACCATGTACAAGAAGGTGGACTCTCTGCCATCGAGGGGCCCTGCTGGAGATGAGGCTCTAAGGGGTACCACAGATATGAATCTGAGGGGGAGAAATGCCAGAAACACATATAACTAAAATTATAAAACTGGTAGAAGAAAACATGGGTGAAAATCTCCACGACCCAGGATCAGGCAATGACTTCTCAAGTATGACCACCAAAAGCACAGCAACAAAAGAAAAAAAAAATAGACAAATTGGACTTGATCAAAATTTTAAACTTTGGTACACATCGAAGGACACTATCAAGAGAGTGAAAAGACAACCCACAGACTGGGAGAAAATATTTGCAAATCATCTATCTGGTAAGAGATTGATATCTAGAACATATAAAGAACTCCTACAGGGCGCTTTTGGGTTGATACCTAGGAAGTGGAATTGCTGGATGCCACGGTAATCTATGTCTGACTTTTTTTTTAAAGATTTTATTTATTTATTTGTCAGAGAGAGAGAGAGAGCACAAGCAGGGGGAGTGGCAGGCAGAGGGAGAAGCAGGCTCCCCGCTGAGCAAGGAGCCTGACATGGGACTTGATCCCAGGACCCCGGGATCATGACCTGAGCCGAAGGCAGATGCTCCACCGACTCTGCCACCCAGGTGTCCCTATGTCTGACTTTTGAGGAACCCCCAAGCTATTTTCCACAGGCTGTGCCATTTGACATTCCCAGCAGCAGTGCACGGGGCTTCCCATTTCTCCACGTCGTCATCAACATTTATTATTTTCTGGTTTTGTTTGTTAATAGTCATTCTGATGGGTTTGAAGTGGTAGCTGGTTGTGGTTTAATTTGCATTTCCCTAATGATTCATGATGTTGAGCATCTTTTTATGGGCTTATTGGCCACTTGTATATCATCTTTGGAGAAGTGTGTATTGAAGTCCTTACCCCACTTTTTGAATTTGGGTTGTTTGGGTTTTTTTGTTTATGTTCTTGTTGCATTGTAGGAGTTCTTTTTTTTTTTTTTAAAGATTTTATTTATTTATTTGAGAGAGAGAATGAAAGAGAGAGAGCATGAGAAGGGGGAGGGTCAGAGGGAGAAGCAGACTCCCTGCTGAGCGGGGACCCCGATGCGGGACTCGATCCCGGGACTCCAGGATCATGACCTGAGCCGAAGGCAGTGGCTTAACCAACTGAGCCACCCAGGCACCCGACCCAAAAGATTTTAAAACAGGGCCTCAAACAGATACTTGGACAGTCGTGTTCATAGCAGCTTTATTCACAATAGCCAAAAAGTGGAAACAATCCAAGTGCCCATCAACAGATGAATGGATTAAAGAGAGGTGGTCTATCCATACAATAGAATATTATTCAGCCATAAGAAGGAACGAAATTCTGACACATGTGACAAAATGGGCGAACTCTGAAAACATTATTCTAAGTGAAACCAGCCACATACAAAAGGGCAAATATTGAGTGATTATATGAGGTACCTGGAGTATGCAAGTTCAAAGACACAGAAAGTAGAGTAGAGGTTACAGGGGCAAGGAGGAGGCATGGAGGAGCGAGTGGAGAGTTCATGTTTAATGAGTGCAGAGTCTCTTTTTTGGATAATGAAAAATTCCTGGAAATCGACAGTGGTGATGGTTACACAATATTGTGAATGTATTTAATGCCGCTGAACTGAACACTTAAAAAATGGTTAAAACAGTAAGTTTTATGTTAAGTATATTTTACAACATGCATACAAAAACCCATGTTGCTGGGGCGCCTGGGTGGCTCAGTCAGTGAAGTGTCTGCCTTCGGCTCAGGTCATGATCCCAGGGTCCTGAGATCGAGCCCCTCCTTGGGCTCCCTGCTCAGCAGGGAGTCTGCTTCTCCCTCTCCCTCTGCCCCTCCCCACCACTCATGTGCGCTCTCTCCCTCTCTCTCAAAAAAAAAAACAAAAAACATATATTTGAAAAAACAACAAACAAACAAACACCCATGTTGCCAACTTTGCAATCCTCCCTTGTCCTAAATGCTGACTTGGCAGAGTGAGGGGGCAGGCACGAGGAGGCTGGGAGTGGGGACAGGAAACTCATGACATCTCCCAGCCCACAGCCCACCAGCCACGGGATGGGGCCCAACTGATTCTGGGGGCTACCAGGGGGCACACCTGGGGAGGGGCTGAGCAGGCACCCAGGACCTGCATGGGATCTGAATTGTCCGTCAGGATGATACACTTTGCCAAGTGTGAAGGGAGAAGGAACGTCCTTGCAGGGAACGGGGCAAAGGCAGGGGAAGGCCAGGAAGAGCACTGTTTCTCAGGGGACCCAGCAGACAGCTCTGGTCATTTGCTGAGGCCCAGTGGCTCATCCCCAGTTCTTTGGGCCGCTCTAGGCCTCCTCCTATCCCAGGGGGATGGACCCACAGCCTCTACACCTGGTCCTTGGCCACAGGAGAGGCTCATGCTGGCCCAGGCTGGAGCTATGGCCCGGATGTTGGGCTGAAAGGCAGCCCTGGGCATGTTTGGGGCAGGTGGGTAACAAGGTCAGCTCTGCTATGGCAGGGACATCGCGAAGAGAGTGGCAGGTTGGCCCCAGTGCCCCTGCTGTTCCCATTTGGGGCCATGAAAAGGACAATGCTGAAAATACAGAAGGAATGGTGGGATTTTAGACCTACTGACCCCAGAATGGAGCAAAGGTTATTGAAACATGTGAGAGGACCCTTTCTAGAACCATCCCAAATCACGTCATGTAGATGTCACTTACACTTAACCCGAGAGGTCACTTACACTGACCCAAGAGGTCAGTCCCACCAGAGTCCAGCTCATTGACTCAACCTGTTCCGCCCCAAAGACCACCCTCCTCCTAGAGAACTTTCCTGGAAGAAAGAAGGGGCAAGACAGACCCCAGAAAGGAAGACACTTGTCTCTATTTAAAAACCTCCGGGCTACGGGCTAGGTGATCCTAGGGCGTGGATTGAGCTTGGTGTACCTGGGTGCCCTGCGCCCCCTGGTGGTAAAGGGGTGATTTCCCAGTCCTGGGAAAGGGCGTGGGTGTCCTGGGGGACCAGAGCCCCGCAGCCTGGAAACAACCCCTTCCTTAGGCAGTGACCTTCTGGGAGAGGATCGCTCCCCAGACCTCAGAAAGTTCCTGAGGCTCATCTTTGTATCTCCAAGTCTTGGGTGCCCTGAAGATAGGGTTTAAATCCCCCACTCCCAAAATTGGTATATATTGCTTCAGGGTGGGGCTGGGGTGGCCTGGCACGCAGTGGGTGCCTGTTTCTGCTGCCTGTGGAGAACAAGTGGGCGGGTAAAGTCTCTGTGAGACCAAGTGTCCCATGATAACTGGGGAGGGCTGGCAGAACCCTGACCTCTGATCCCAGAGACCAGTCTGGCCTGAGGAAGGAAGGACAAGGTAGTTTCACTATAGACAGCTATGCAGGGTTCAGTTTCTGTTTCCTAGCACCAGGGCTTCCCCCGCAACTTCCCTACCCAGCTGCAGAAGGAGGGAAATGAGGGGACCCAGCCATCTGGAGTGCTCTGCCCCACAGATAGGAAAACAGGGTACAGGCGGGCAAGTCCTGAGTATATTATCTTCCTAATAGTGGAAAGCCCCCAAAATAAGCCAGACGTTTCACTTGAAAAGCCATACAGCCCATAAATGAAGTTGACTGGCTTTGAAATGGGCAGTAGAGATTTCACACCTCGTTTTTTCAATCTGGCTGTAAGTGGTTAGAGCCCAAGCGCCCCCCCACTCCCCAGGCTGTGCTAGGTGGTGCTGGGGGTCCTGCTGGGAGGAGGAAGTGGTGATGAAGGGAGTGAGCGGGACTGGGCTCCTGTGAGGTCGGGTTGAGGGGTGGGCAGCAGCTGGGTGAGCATGAAGGTGAATCTCGGCCGCAATGTGGGATGGAATTGGGTGGATGCGGAGGGGAGAGTGATGGGTTGGGAGAGGATGAAGGTCGGGGTTGAGGCTGCATGAAGATGACGGAAATGTTTGGGGTGTCACTGAGGGTGAGGGAGGGCTGGAAGGTGTGAGGACTGGGATTGGGGTGTGGGTTGGGGAAGATTTGGGGGTGTGGAAGAGTTCCGGTAATGACTGCAGCTTTGATTAGTGTCTAGGGCTTGGGTTAGTCTGGGGTCCAGCACCTACCGCCAATGCCCCCCAGCAAATCTCAGCCAGCCCCTCTCCCAGCCCCCCTCTCACGCTCTGGAAATGGGAGTACCTGCTCCGCAAGGGGAAGGGGCTGCAGGGCTGGTGAACCGCAGGAAGACAAACGGGAAGGAGGGCCAGGCGCTCGTGGTGGTTGTGGTGCTGGAGGCTTCCCAGGGTTCTGCCACCCCAACAGAGGAGATCCAGCCTCGGAGGCTGCTTCCTCTTTTCCCAAAGCCTCAGCCTGGAGGCTGGTCAGGGAGGCAGCTGCAGGCCTTGCATAATACCAAGACAGGAAAGGCCTCCTAGGCAGGGGAAGGGCCCCCAGGAAGGCCCTTCAGGACTCGAGCAAGCAGAAGTGGGATCGGGGGCCACACTGGAGTGTCCTCTCAGGCACAGTGAAATGGGGGGGGTCCTGCTTACCAGCCATGTCCATTCTCCTCTTCTTTGTGGCCACTGGCCTTTTTAGGGAGTCCAAGAGAGGAGGAAGGGAACTTTCTACCCATGGTCCTCCTGACAACAGGGAAGGAGACAAGCCCAGCCTGGGGTGAGGGAGCATTACAGGGCACCCAGATGCAAGTATTGATTCTCCAAGCCCTGTGGGAGCCTCTCAGTATCCCCCTGGTAGCAGGATTCTCTGAGAAGAATCCCCTAAGAAGCAGGCCCTACTCCCTGCTCGGCAGGGAGTCTGCTTCTCCCTCTGACCCTCCTCCCTCTCATGCTCTCTGTCTCAAAAAAATAAATAAAATCTTTAAAAAAAAAAGAAGCAGGCCCTAGTCGTGGGGGACACAGGGCCCCCAACCTCCAGGATACTCCTCAGGCTGGAAGAGCATCCCTGGTTCCCTCTCCATTCCTCACTGTCTGTCCTACACCCCCACTACCCCCCCCATGTGATTTCAGCATCCCCCAACCCCTGCTGAGGCAGAAAAAGAAAACTCCCACCACGGCTAGTTACTGTTTTTTTATTGGAGCCCATTTTATTGATGGCCTACTATGTGTCAGTCACGCGCAATATGGAGTGGAGTGTTAATTGTTCCAAGCGATGCTGGATACAAGTGACAACACGTTTCTCATCTCACACCTCAAACTTGACTCCACTCAGCCCCTACCTATCTGTGGCAGGCCCCCGTACCGTGTGGACAAACCCACATGTACAGATCAGCAAGGACATGAAACCCTGAATCAGGATGAACCCAGGACCCCAGGCCACAGTGGCCCAAAGCAACTGTCTCCTGGCATTCCGCCCTGAAATCCTCAAGCCCCAGAGAACTTAGGGCTCTGTCACTCACTCTGGTTTCTTTGCAGCCCCTGTATCTCTCCTAACCTTGGGTCATTTCCTCTTTTGACCAAAACACAATGGGTTCATCCATTGCTTCTTCCTCCAACCCCAACATGAGACTTGTTGGTTTAGCTCTAGGTCTATGCAGCTGATTCCAACTGTATGACATTCTGGACAAGACCAAACTAGGAAGACAGTAAAAAGGTCGTTGTTGCCAGAGGTTAGTGGGGAAGAAAGTATGAATAGGTGGAGCACAGAGGATTTTTTAGGGCAGTGAAACTGTTCTGTATGGTACCATAAAGATGCATGCATGTTGTTATACACCTGCCCAAATCCACAGAATGTACAAAACTGAGTGAACCCTAACATCAACTGTGGACTTCAGGTGAGTATAATGTGTCAGTGTAGGTTCATCAGTTACAATAAATTGGCGGGGGATGTTGATGACCAGGGGAAGCTATGCATGTGGGGGGGACATAGGGGGCATAAGGGAAATCTGTGTATCTTCCCCTCATTGTGATGTGAACCGAAAACTGTTCTTAAAAAAAAGAAAAGAAAAAGAAAATAATAGAAAGGACAAAGCTCATTCCATTCGCTCCAGCCGCTGGAGTGAGAGAGAGCTCAGAAATTCTCTCAAGAATTTGGGCCATAACTGGTAGGCACGCAACTTCAGCATCCACCTTCCATCACCTGAAACCAGTGCCGGCTCACACCCTTGACTCTGGGCAACTGATGTTTCAGCATCGAGGCAGGTGGCTGAAGGTGGTGTGCTTAACTACTTTCATATCCGTATTGTTTGTCGGTTGTAAAATAGAAGAGAAATTCTTTTAGCAATTCTCAGGCTTTTGTATCCTGAAATTCCATCTCTTTGCAATTAAAAATTTCAGATCAAAATCTGTCCTGAGAATAACAGATCCTAAAATAATAGAACCTTTCAGGATTAGGAAAGAGCACGAGCAGAGATGCCACACAATGTTTTTAGTGGCAATGCTTGAAATGGGAAATCTTGAATATGAAATTAAATTTGGCTAAAAAATGAATTTATTTCATGACTTAATGGCATTACTCTTAGTAAAAAGTGTTTTACTTTTGTTCTGGAATAAATAAGCATAATTTTAAAAAATATTTAATTAATTAATTAATTAATTAATTAATTAATTAATTTGTCAGAGAGAGACAGCACTAGCAGGGAAAGGGAGAGGCAGACGGAGAGGGAGAAGCAGGCTCCCCGCCGCCCAGCAGGGAGCTCAATGTGGGACTCAATCCCAAGACCCTGGGATCATTACCTGAGCAGAAGGCAGATGCTTAACTGACTGAGCCACCCAGGTGCCCCAAGCATATACATATATATTTTTTAATGAAGAAAATGTTTGGCTAAAATGCAGAAAATTAGAATTAATAGGGATTTAAATAAAATAGAAGTGTATTTCCCTCTCCCTCAAGTAAGTGTTGGTATCCAAGGCTGATGTGGCAACTGCACAATCATCACGAAACTAGAACCCTTTTAATTTTTTGTGTTCTGCCATCTTCAATGCACTGCTTCCACTCATGGTCTAAGACGGCTGCTGGAATGCCAGCCATTATATCTGCGTTCCAGAAAGCAAGATGGAGGAAGGAACAAAGCAGGTCATGCCCCCATCTTTTAAGGATAATTCCTTAAATTGCATATTTCATTTCTGCTTATATCACTCTAGCCAGAAGTTAGTCACCTAGCTTTATGTCTTTATTCCAATAGATGATGTGCCCAGGTAAATCCTAGGGGTTCACTACTAAGGAGTTGGGGGAGATGAAGCCCTGCCTTTTTATAGAGCAACCAGGATCCTAATTAAATCACTCATTCCTTGGAACTGTTGGGATCCCAGCCCCAGGCCCCTGCTCAACTCTGACAGCATCTCTGTAGAGCCTCCTATCTCCCATAGAAGGCGCCAGAGCCCTCTGCTTCCTCGCCTTTGTCCCTTCAGCTCCAATTGCAACATCTAAGGTATGGCCGGCTCAGCCCACAGTGGCCCGAAGATCTTCAGGGCTTGCTGTGGTCAGCTTGGGGACAGGTGGGAGTCACGTAGCTCAGTGGTTAAGAGCCTGGGCCTTGCATAGAGCTGAGTTCAAATCCAGACATATCATTCAGCATCTGTGTGATCAGGGGGAAGTCACTCAACCACTCTGAACCTGGAGCCTTGGGGACAGCTTAGTGTGAAGAGCCTGCCCCACCGAAGGTGACCACTCCCATAGCCACACCCTGGATTTTCACTCATTCAGTCACCCCAGAGCCTATGGTCTGTCGCTCTGGCTCTCCTCCTCTGCTCATGTACCCATTTCTGCTCCTGGAGAGTTTGAGGGCATATGGACTTCTCCACCCCTATCCCCACTCCTGCTAACGCTCCAGAGCAGAGAAAATCCCTTCCATCCATGCCAATACCAATCAGCCCTACCCTCCCTTCCTTTTTTTTTTTTTAAGATTTTATTTATTTATTTGACAGAGAGAGACACAGCGAGAGAGGGAACACAAGCAGGGGGATAGGAGAGGGAGAAGCAGGCTTCCCGAGGAGCAGGGAGCCCAATGCGGGGCTCGATCCCAGGACCCTGGGATCATGACCTGAGCCGAAGGCAGACGCTTAACGACTGAGCCACCCAGGCGCCCCTGCCCTCCCTTCCTAAAGACGAATTGGCCACCAGGTGTTACCAGCCAGTGAGAAAACCCAACAAAAGCAGGATTAAGAAAAGTATAGCAAACCACGATTCAGGGCTGACCGTGCGCGTAAGCATTGACATGCAGTGGCCTAATCATTGACATTCAGTAACCATGCAATGACCCCCTGAGCCAGGTGCTCTTGTTACCTCCACTTTGCAGGAAACTGAGTCACAGAACAGTACATTAGCGTGGCTGAGATTTAAACAGCTCCTGAGGGGCAGAGACATGGAATCTGAACCCAGGCAGCCTGTTTCCTGCACTGCACTCTGAACTACTCAATTCTATGCCTCTTTCTTCTTATTATTAAGCTTTTTATTTTAATTCCAGTGTAGTGAACAGTGTTATATTAGTTTCAGGTGTACAATATAGTGATTCAACAATTCTATACATTCTTCAGTGCTCATCATGATGTGTGCTCTTAATCCCCTTCACCTGTTTCCCCCATTCCCCCCTCCCACTCCCCACTGATAACCATCAATTTGTTCTCTATACTTAGGAGTCTGATTCTTGGTTTGTCTCTCTCTCTCTCTCTCTTTTTTTTTTGTTTGCTTGTTTGTTTTGTTTCTTCAGTTCCACATATGAGTGAAATCATATGGTATTTGTCTTTGGCTGACTCATTTCACTTAGCATTATACCCTCTGGCTCCATCCAAGTTGCTGCAAATGGCAAGATTTCATTCTTTTTTATGACTGAATAATATTCCATCGTGTACATGTACTACATTTTCTTTATCCACTCATTTTTTGATGACACTTGGGCTGCTTCCAACCCTGCCTCTTTAATAAACTTAAAAAAAAAAAAAGTGAACTGATCCCAGAGGAAACAGGTAATTCAAAGAACAGAAGAGAACTTATAAAAAGAGTCTAATTCTATTATATTCATAAAACAAATGGAGGAAGTTATGAAAAAAAGCAAAAAATAATTCTTGGAAATTTAAAATAGAATCACTGAGAAAAAAACCAATTCAATAGAAAGAAGTGTGAACATCTGTGGTTTGGGTGTCCAAAATGAATTCTCCCTTCTTTTAGTAAAAAAAAAAAAAAAAGCTCTGATTTCCCTCCTGTATTCTGAAGCCTGTGGATTGGGTGGAACTGACCACCCCCCTCCCCATTTTATACACAAGAGGAACATGTTGCTGCTGACAGTCCACTCTGAGGAGCCAGGGGATAGAGACAACACTGAGGGCAGAGGAAAAATATATAGTGACCCTGGGTCCTTGATGACATTACAGTCC